TTGCCCATGTCATGGCAACCGGTCCCACGTTGTTGTGAGTCGTGGAGTCCCCTGGACCACTGGTTGTGTTCGCTGTTCCATTTTTTATAATGGCCCTGGCCCCCACCGGTGCCGTAATCGCGGCCTCCCGGGTTGCTGGTAACGGTATTGACTGTCGTTTGTTCCTTTGAGGCTCCACGAAGTCCACTCTATTACCTTGTGTCCTCACTGCTGCTGGCCTGTCTTGTGGCGTTGAATTCCTCAAGATAGCGTCTAGCTTTGTCTGTATTGCACTTGAGCTCTCAGCCTGTTCCTTACTCATCGTATCCATTCTCGTTTCCAAACTCCCCAACTGGCTATTCACTGCGTCATATCGCTGCTTCATTTCTCGCATGTCTTTTCTGATGTTCTTGTCTCGCTCTTCATCAGTGGTTTCTACTTTGTCAGACATCTGCTGAAGCTTTTCCTCCGTTGCTCTTGCTAGATGGAAATAGTTGTCCCAGTACTCATGTTTCTTGTTTCTCATTTCCTTCCTTATCACATTTCTATCCTCTTCGCTGTGCTTCAGTTTCTCATCTATCTGATCTAGCTTCGCCATCAAGTCACTTAGCTCAAGAGTAGTTGTTCCATGGTCCGTTGTTGTCCTGTAGTCGGTCGCTGGTCCCGGTTTTTTCTGATCCTCGTTTTGGTTGGTCTCTGTTGTTCTCGTGGATACTGTTCCGAATGTTTTGCTTTTCTCGGCTTTAGTCTCCTCCACTGCTGCGTCTCTCGATCTCATTCCAACCATCATCGCCAATCTTTCAGTAAAAGACGTTCTCTTTTGAGACTCATCCTTCACTGTTTCTGGCGTGTTGCCTGTTGTGTCTTCCACGTTGTCTATCGGTGAGAACTCTATGGGTTTTGGGTTAGGTTCTTCCGCATTGGGCATTGGAGTTGACTCTGTCGTCTTCTTTCCTGCTTCATCCACACTTTGATCAGGTGTCTCTAGATCAATCTCGATGGTGGGTTCTACTCGTTCCCCTTCCGTGCCCTCTTTTGCTCTGTTCTCTGTGGTACTCCTCGTCCTGACCATACTAACTGAAAAGTTCTTCTTTGTTACCTTCGGACCCATTGATGTTGTTTTACGTAGCGACGAGTTATACTTTGTCTTCGCTTCGGTAGATCTTTTTTCAGCTACCGGTACCCTGCTCCGCCTCATTATTTACAATTGTTACTATTTACAGTATTACTATCTACAAAATTCTACTCTAAGGTTAAAACCTCTTTTGACAAAATTTTATAAAAAGAAATTGACAATTTGCTAAAAACAACTTTTCTTAGGCTCTTGAAAATTTTATATGTTTGGATAGGATATAGAACATGATTTTACAATTGGTTACTTCAACCTGACTTAGTACTCTTTTAGTACCCCCCTTCCTAATGCTGTTCCAAGACTTTCTCTCTACCGTCTCAAGACTATTCAGTGTTGTCCCAGTACTTCTTGTTAGTGTCCCCAGACCACTGTCCCAAGACCCTTGCCCTAAGTCTGCTGTCCCAATACTACTGTCCCAAGACTAGTATCCCAAGACTAATGTCCCAAGACCAACGTCCCAAGACCAATGGCCCAAGACCAATATCCCAAGACCAATGTACCAAGACCACTGTCCCAAGACCAATGTCCCAAGACCACTGTCCCAAGACCACTGTCCCAAGACCAATGTCCCAAGACCACTGTCCCAAGACCAATGTCCCAAGACCAATGTCCCAAGACCACTGTCCCAAGACCAATGTCCCAAGACCAATGTCCCAAGACCACTGTCCCAAGACCAATGTCCCAAGACCAATGTCCCAAGACCACTGTCCCAAGACCAATGTCCCAAGACCACTGTCCCAAGGTCACTGTCCCAATACCAATGTCCCAAGACCACTGTCCTAAGACTAACGTCCCAAGACCAATATCCCAAGGCTATTTCGTACCAAGACTGCTCTGGTCCAAGACTGTCCCAAGGCTGCACTGTCCCAAGACTGCTCTGTCCCGCGACTGTCCCAAGACCGTGTTGCTCCAAGACTGTCCCCAGACTGCAATGTCCCAAGACTTCTTCGGTACTATCCCAAGACTCGTCACTGAGTGTCTGGATATCGGGTCTCTTCTTCTTCTTCGTTGTAGGGACTATTGAACCACTGTACCTTTTACCACCACTTGAGCTTTAGTAAAAATTTTCCCAAAATCCCTATCTTAATGGTCAAAACCCAAATATTAATCCCCCTGTATTTGCCTCTATCTCTATGTTTCGGGCTATTTGAAACCCTAAATTCCCCGCAGGTATCTTGTGACCACCTGTTCGTATACCAACGAACAGGTTTTCGTTGGTATACCTGTTCCTTTGAAATACCAACAACAAATTTTCACCAAAACGTAAAAATTTAAACTGGAAAAAATTTCAAAAACAGATGGATGAATTCTCCTGAAATTCAAGGTTGACCGATGTCAATCTTTGTCCGAAAAAATGTCTGGTACCCGATTGCCACGCGTTTTCCTCCCTCCTGCTAGCGATCTTATGGGGTATCACAAAAACTGTCTATGTCCGTTCCCCCCTACCGATCCGACCAGGGTACCTAGCTTAACCTGATTTTAATTTTGGATATCCACTTCTTATAACCAACGCGTGTAAATATCTAATGTAACTAAATCGACGATGCCGAACAATTAGTTACTCTAACGTGTCCCCCCTTTTTACAATTTTCAACCGCTAACCTCTAACCTAACCAGCCCCCCTTCTAACCTCCCCCCTCTTTAGCCCCCCTCTTAGGCCGAAAAATCCCTTAAGCGTCGGGTGCTAAACCTCTCGAGAGAAAACCGTAGACCTGTTTCCAGGCCTGCTTGTGCAAAAACTTCCTCAAAACAATGTGACTCCGCTTATCCATTTTTACACTTATCTCCTATAATGTAATGTGGATTCTAACGATACCCGTTGCCCAACTTGAGAACACCCCTGTGCGTCCTCTTGTAGTGATCCTGTGCTGGTTGTCTCTGTTCTGCACTTGACAGCAGCATCAATTTCCCACTTGGCTGGTCACCTCTTCCAGTCAAGTTTCCAGTGGGTTCAGCTTAGTACTTATGAACCACTTTCCCACTCGGCTGGTCACCTCTTCCAGTCAAGTCTCCTAGTGGTCCGGTTCGATCCTTGTGAACCACTTTCCCACTCGGCTGGTCACCTCTTCCAGTCAAGTCTCCTAGTGGCCCGGTTCGATCCTTGTGAACCACTTTCCCACTCGGCTGGTCACCCTTTCCAGTCAAGTCTCCTAGTGGTGCGGCTAGGTTGCAATCTGTCTGAAAACCCTTAACAACGCCCCCCACTCGGGCACCTTATTGAAGCCACTGGCTTAAATTGCTAGATTGATCGAAACGATCGGTCTTATAAAACAGTATGGGTATACTATTTAATTAATATAAAGGTTTGATCCAAATGATCCGGTATCAAAGTCACTTTTTTTTTTCTTTTTATGGTTTTTGTTCCTTTTTCTATACTTTTTTCGTGTTTTTGTCCCCCTAGTTGCCCCCCCCTTACTCGGTTAGCTAGGCCTCGTTCAGAGAGCGTACCAGGAAGTTTTCTCAACTTTCTTAAAAAGCTATCACGGTACAACCGGAAGGTTTACACGTTCCCGCTGAACCGTACCACCGGTACTCTAGAATGGGCATGCAGCCCAGAGCTGTGTCAAGTGGTTTCGACTCCGTAGTCATGATGTCGTAAAAACACCCAGGAGCGCCATAAAAACACTATGTAACAGTCGCCTACTCCAGTCACATTTGAGGCTTAAGAAAAATAGGCCCTATAACCATTGGCTCAAGAGTCAGGGACACTATCTCTTGTGTTTTTCTACCTCAAGAACGGTCGGAGCCAATTCGGTTCGCTTGCGACATGAGACTAGAACCCGTTACAGCTTAAAGGCTGCTACCAAAATATCCCCCCACTCTAGAAAATAAAAATGTCCCCATACTTAGGTCTCGAGATACCCGAAATACACGAACGCCGTTAAAAACGTGGTCGGAACAATCCGTTAAGTTACTTTTTATTGGACAGTGGCACTTTGATCCGTTTCAGATGGATCAACCAAAAACTCGCCTTATCTCAACATAACAATCATAAAACACACTCGAGAAAATTAAATTAGGGACTCACATGTTGATGCACTCGAGTACAAGGAGTAATTAAATTGGTAAGCAACTCGAGAATGAGATAATATAACTAGATAAGTTTAATACTGATCAGTTTTGATAACAGAAGTAAGTTCTGGCTCTAGAATTAGAGTTTTTGTATGAACCATTGGGACACTCAAGCTGTCCACCTTTCCATTGAAGGTTCACTCTGGTTCGTTTCGAATAGTTGTTCTCTTCTTTTTATTATCTCTCCTCCTATTTCGGGATAAGACAGCTCTACTCGTGTATTATTTTGTGTCTGGAAATTGCGAATAGCAATTTCCTGCTGTTTTCTTAAGTACTTTCCCGCAATTGTAAATTCGGTCGTTCTCTTTTTCACTTTTTGTGTTTTCAGTTGGTGCGAGAAAACTGAGCATGACAGGCTCCATTCGAAATTTTGAAAACAAAAACTTCACTCCAAAATCACGTATTTTCGTGTCCCTCAAGGTCAAACTTCCAGATATGACCGACTGGCACATTATCAACCCTGTAATTGGGTGCTGTCAGAGTGCACTCAAAGGATACAAATGGTATTTCCAATACAGGCGGTTTTTTATTAGTTGATAAAAAATTGAAGCACCGAAGGTGCGTTACTCATAAGTTACGTTTGACGTGAGTCCACGTTAACATAGAAATCCAGAAACGCCAAGTTACCTCTCTCGTTTGCCTTTTGTAGAGTAAACTGTTGATAAAGATTTAATTTATTTGCAGCGTGTAACATCTTTTCCGGGTCTCCTTTCACAGTTCTCACGATGTTATCCACATACTCTCAGGATATGAATTAATTCAGTTCGTTCAAACTTAGTTGACAATTATCTAAGTTTATTTTGAAAATTTCAGTTGGCGATGACCGAAGTTAGTAGTATCTCCAATGAAGATAATTTGGCCGCCGATGGAAAGTCTAAAAATCAAGACTCTGATAATTTATCCAAAAATGTGTTCGAGAAAGATCTATTTGGAAATGATGATTTGATAGTTAGTGGCCCAACAAAGCACTCGGTAATAGATTCAGATGATGGAGGGGAACTCGAACCACTTCCCGAAAAAATGATCCAAGATGTCGTGCTTGATCCTGCTGTGCAAAAAGACCATATTAACCCAAAAATAGAACCCTCTCCTTCAGTGCCAGAGACTAAACGTGAACATGACGAGCAAGTTGACACCTCACACATTGCTGAGCTTAGCGATGACAAAAAGAACTTAGAAATCAATTCAAATTCAGGCGTGAAAACCTCTAGCTTAGATGTCAAGGAATTAAATACCGATACTAAAGCATCCCCGTCAGATACCAAGACACCAAGTACAAATATCACGATATCAAACTCAGATGCCAATAAGACACCAGCTTTTGATATGAAAACTGAGAGCAAGCCCAAGGTTCTAAATCCGCCGCCGCCTCCGTGGTTCAAACCTGGAAGGGGGCGTAAAACAAACCAGCTGCAATTCTTAGACAAAACAGTTATAAAGGCTGTGAGCAAGCACAAATACGCATGGCCATTTCTAACGCCAGTGGACGCCGCTGCATTGATGCTCCCGGTAAGGATTGCGACGCGAGTAGCCAAGTTTTTTTTTAAGCGGGCTATCATATTTAGTTCATTGTTTCCTAATCAGAAATTTCAGCGAACTTGGATTAATTCGTATGGATTGATAAGCAGTAATTTCATTAAGTATTCAACGAAAGAAATTAGGTCGTTTAGTTTTATTCCGGAAAAGTTGCTTGAAGTTTTTCACTTAAATTAATTTAATGTTTTGGTTGTTTGATTTTTGATATCTTATAAAGTGTTAATGACCAAAGTGATATTATTTATCTATGACTTCTGAAATTTTGTTTTTTAAGAAACTTGGTTTTCTACGTTTGGTTTGAAAATTGTTTCGAAAGTGGAGTTTTTTGAATTTCCAGAATAAAAAAATTGACCCAATTTTCTCAATGTCGGAATTGATTTTTTTTTCAATTGAAGTCAGTCGTTTTTGGCCTCCTTGAGGTCAAACTTTCGCAAAAATCACGCTAAAGTTTGATTTCTCGCTGCTTAAATTTTAAATTTTTTTAAATTTCATTTCAAATCATTTAACAAAAAAGAAGGCATACGCGAAAAAACGCAAATGACTCTTAAATTCGAGAGCGGACTGTAATTTAAGATTTTCTGACGGAATAAGAAATTACCTATTGATTCAGTTTTTTCGAATTAGGCAAGTGTTTTACCCTTGCGATAAGCAAGGGAATTGCAATCGGGTACTAGACTTTTTTTTTCCTGTTAACAACTTTTTTCAAATGATGATCTCCTTTTTCAGGACATTGCACGTTTAACACCTCTAGTTATTGTGCCTAGATTCAATGCGTTGCTGGATCTACTAGTAAAATATTTCAGATTTTAAATTGTTTTTTTTTGTAGCCTTAATTGATTTCGGGCCAATTTTTATCGGCTTTTTCGTGGGTGTTTTTGTTTTAACGTTCTATTCAATTGATTTTCAAATTCAATTCCAAGAAAGTATCACAATTTTTAACACGCTTTTTAAACGTTGTTTAAGTAAACGGTTTTCACACGCTTTTTTATTCAAACTTTCGGTTTGAAAAAAAATTGTAGTGCTTGATATTTTTTCTTTTTTTTTCAGTTTGCTTCCGAATGCATAGTTTTTATTTTAACATCAACTTTAGTCAACCATCCGGCGCATGTGTCGCAGAGGTATAACAATTGCTTGAGACGACAAAGGCCTGTAGTTCGAATCCGACCGGGACCTGTCTTATGCAAAGTTGATTTTTTAATGCTTTTTCGTACTATAGTCCGTCTGCCTATTTTTGTCGGCTTGATTACCGTAGCCCGATTTTTTTGAGTTTTCAGCTTTCTTCCAAGTTGCTGTAACACCCATGCTTGAGACGACAGAGCCCAGCAGTTCGATTCCAGTCGGGATGTGTTTCTTTGTAAATTCAAACTTCCGGCTTTTTTGGATTCGTGAGGTAACACAACTGCTTGAGGCGGCAAAGGCGAATCCAAACACGACCTGTTTTTTGCAGAGTTTTGTGCTTTTTCGGACTATCGTCCGTCTGTTTTATTTTTGTCCGTCTGCTCCTTGTAAAGTTTCGGCGCACCAATTTTTTCTGAATACTTTTTGCGTTTGATGCATGTTTTATTTTTTGTTGACAAATTTAGATTTTTCATTTATTTTGGTTTTAATTGCAGGCATTCATTTTTGAATTGCAATTTGTCAAAATCGCATCATATGTTCTTGATCCAAAAGAAAACCTTTTGATCCAGCTTTACTAGTTCACCAACAATCTTTTGCAATATAATTGAAGGCAAAGTAGAACTCCTTCTAGGCTTATTTGCTTACTATGCGAGCCTTTAAATGGTACATATGCACACGGTTTTTCGATAGCAAGCGTTATCAAACCAGAGTATAGACTTTTTTCTGATTAAAAACTTTTTTAACCATTGAGTTTAATCGTTTGATATCAAAATTTACAGTAGGAAGCGTTTTAAAACCAGAATATAGACTCTTTTATGTAAACAACATCAGTTTAATAATTGTCTTAAAATAACTTCAAGTTCATCTGCTTCTCCGGCACACATGTTATAGCGGTAACCACTGCGCCTAGGGCGGCATGGGCCCTAGTTTAAAATGGGAAATTTTCTGTTTCGGAAAACTTCAATATTATCGCCTTCTTATATTTTGTTGGCTTAGGTGCCACATAGCTTTTTTCGGCGCTGTAAGCAATGTTCATTTTAATTGAAAGTGTTTTTAATTTATTCTTGTAATTTGTAAGTTTACGGAATCGGATTTTTTCGGGTAAATCAGTTCGGCTTCTGTTTTGTCGGCCTGGTGACCTAATTTTGCTTCGTTTGAATTAAAAGTTAGATTTTGTGTGTTATCGGAAGGGTGGAGAGGGTTTAATATTTCAGAATTTGTTGTTTAATGCTAGTGATTGTGTTTCTAAAATTCAATTATCATTTTTTTTAAAACTTCTGTTTCGCATTTGTTATTTCCGTCTCATTTTCTATTCGCCAGCGTGCAAAGCTACGGTTGCGTTGTATCGCAAGTGATACGAATCTCCGCAAGTGATACGAAGTTCCAATAATAAAAGACTCCTAAAGACCTTCGGTATGATAAGTTTTTGCTTCGAAAACTGTAAAATGTTTTAAAATATATCATAAGCTATATAATTTTTTGTTATCCTTGTGTTCATTGACTTTTCTATTGATATCAATTTCCATTTTCTGTTGGCTATGTTGAATGAAATTAAAAGTGACGATAAATCGCAAAGTTGTTTGGTTTTTAAATAGAAAAATTACAACTTATGTCATAAGGAAATCAGTTCTTTTAGGGTTTAAATGAGCTGAATAATTTTTCTCAAAAGAAAAACAGAAGCGGTTGCTGATATTTTGCTGAAAAGTAAAGAAAAATATGTGTTAAATACTATTTGTTCCGACCATTGAAGTTGGGGAGGAACTTTGTATTGGGTGTGTTTTGTTTTTTCCACGCAAAATTCACATACCACCAATTTTCTGTTGGCTACTTTAAATGAAAATAAAAGTGACGTTAAATGGCAATGTAATTTTTTGTCTAAATTGAAAATTGGTCGAGAAAAACTGGTTTGAAATGTTTGATTTTTTTTGTAATTTTCAGCTAGTAATGCAATCGACTAGCGTTCGGTATATAAAGATTGACAGAAATTGGTCAATTTAACTAAAAAACTTCATTTTCCGAAACAAAACTGGTTGTGGAAGCTTCATTTAGCGACTCCTTGTCAGTAAAAGTTTTCTATATAATTTCAAACAATACTACAAAATAATAAGTTTTTTTTTTGATTTTTTTCATGTTTGTTTGTTTTTGAATTTTTGGATATAAGTCGAGTCAGTTTTGCCAAATTCTTTAAGTTCATACGCGTTTGTATAGTTTTTTCATCTAAGCACACAAATAAACGACCCTAAATTGAAAATAAAATAGGGTAAAAAAACAACAACCGGCTATCCTTGTTCCAATAGTTGATTGTCGTTCAATCATATCGACCATCTTTGACGTTGATTTTGATCTGATATATTGGGTTATATACTTGTTCCGATAACAGAATGTGTGGGAAGAAACTTTCGTATTCGCATGTTTTCTTTCACCCAAATCCAGCTATACAAATGTCAGATGGCGTATAAACCGGATTATGGTCATTTGAGCCTCTAATATCGAGAGCCTTCTTGAAATAATTACACAGCTGACAAAATATAAAATAAGGAGTTGAAAAAATATAAAATATTCACTTCATCAAAACTCATTTCACTTGTGTCAGAAATAAAAGAAACTTGCAAAGTTTTGACTCGGATGAAACCCATTTACATATCCATGTATTTAACTAAACTTGAGGTAGTGCGGTCTGTATTGATACTCGTCAGTAAGTAGACAAATACTATATTAACCAATCAGAATGGAGATGAGAAAACAAATTATTAATTTCTTTCGTTTGCTTTCGTGTCTCGATTTCGATAGGATAATATGGTATTTGTCTATTTACTGACGAGTATTAATACACAGTCGTCTACTACTGCTACGTAACCAAATTTTAGCCTTTGAAGTTTGCGACAGAAAGCCCGCAACTCTGCTAGATATTGAATATTTTAATGCTGTTACGATCAAGGGTACGAAGGTTACGAACGAGGGTACACAAATTACGAACGGTTGAAGAATCTTGTCGTATCGCTTCGTTTTTTTTTCGATTCGTTCGGGAAAGACATCCAAAATCAGCGGAATGCTATTTCTTCTTGTTTTGTTAAGATACCAGTTTCTTCCGCTCGATTGCTTCCGCTAAGCTTGGGTAAACGAATTCATTATGCTTGCGACTAGCATGAGCGAATTTCCATTGCTCAACAACAACATTCATTTTAATTACAAAAGTCGAACACGGCATTGTATAGCAAGCGGTATCAAATGGGAACACACTTTTTTTTCAGGTAAACAACTTGTCGAACAGAATCACTGAATCATCTTCTCAAATAAGTATTTTCGTCAACTAACAGACATATGGTGAACATGGCTGCGTTTGAAATAACTGGTATATTCAAATCAGTTTTTATGCTGTCTTGATTTAAATGTACCAGTTCCGATTTGATATAATTTCATTTATTTCTTTTCGTCTTTAAAAGTATCGGCTTATGATATATACGCTTAGTGGCTTCCTATAGCGTCATTTGATGTGCGAACAACTTTCAATTGTGTACATGACTTATTACACTTTCGATAAGCAAGGGTATTGCAATCGGGTACTAGACTTGTTGCACGTAAACATCTTTGTTCACAGAATGGTCATTTTAGTAGGAATGGTAAACTGGACCTGAATAATAGGAAGAATCAACTTCTGACATGTTCAAATTCTTGAAGTTCAGATGAAACTACTATCATTTAAGTAGTAATTGGGTGAAGACTGTTTCAGGTTCTAAGTAATTTTTCAAAAAATTCTAAATTTTTTCCGGTGGGTGGTTTTCGTCCTAGTTTCTGTCGTTTCATTATCCGTTTTTTAAAAGCTTTTTTTTTCATCTGGTAAAATTTTTATAGACTTACTTTTTAAAGCATGGGTTTTTGTTCCAATTTAAACAGTTTTTTTTTCACTAAAACTGAAAGTTCTGTAATTTGAAAGTTAAGTCTGATTTTGCGTATTTTTTTTTCTTGTTTTTTTTTAGTGTTTAAACAGTTTCTTATTTTGTTTTAGTCAATTGGTATTGCTTAGTTTCGAGGGAAAACTGTTTTCATGAAGGATTATGTGCTTCTTTATGGATGGGTCGTAAAATTTTTTAAAACTTCAGTTTTTTCATGACAACAGTTTTGTTTTCGGCTCAACAGGTCTCGAACAAAAATTTTTCGTCTTTGTTGCCGCTCGGTGAATGGTTTCTCATTTTTAAGGATGCTTATGAATTTTATCTGATACAATAATGAAATTTTTGTAGCTGTAGTTTTTCCAGCTTTTTCAAGTTATTTTTTCAAGTATTTTTTTTTTTCAATTTAATTTTTCAGATTTTTTTTCGACTTGCGTCTCTTTTCCACAGACTATATTGCAGCGCAATCACAACTATCGGTTGTCTTCTGACTTAGGATTTCATCAAAATGAGTTTCAGCTTGAAACAAACATTTGAAAAATTTGGGTGTTGTTTTTTTTTGGCGTTTTGTCATTTTTTATACGAGTTAATGGCTTTGGGTATCGCAAGTGGTGCGAAGCTCAGCTCGCCTGTGTAAATTTTTTGACTTCTGAAATTTTTTAGAAAACATTTTAGTTGACTGAATGGGTGTCGCTTAAGTATTGCTGGCTTTGTGACCGCTTCGTTACATTTTCGAGCGTAGTGTATTAGTGTAACTACTTTTGATCCGAATTGCAGCAAAAGTTTTTTAATTTCGAGACTTATCTCTACTTTTTGTTATTTCACTTTATAGAGCTGCTTTTTGTTCGTTTTCTTGCTAGTGCTTGCAAAGTGCAGCTAAGCCTATCTGTATGTTGTATTCCGATCCTTATTTAACATTTAATTGTTTTTTTGGCATGCTTTTCCCAAATTGACCATTTCAAGACAATTCGACCCAAACATGAAATTTTTGATAGATATATTTTTTTGACATTTCTTCCATTTTTGTTCGGCTTTCGTCTCATTTTTGTCTGCTGGTTTGCTTTGCTGTTTGTGTTGTAATACAAGTGTTGCTGAGCTCCGTTCTGTCTTTGTTTCTAAAATATATTTCAATGTGATAAAACTGAAAAACATGTTTAGAATGATTTTTTGACAGTTCAAAACACTCGAATGATCAAAACTACGCATTTCGTGAGAAAAATTATGAAACGCTGAGTTGTCGAATAGAGAAAGCTTCGCAAATTTTGAAGCCTGGTGAATCTAATGGAAAAATTGAATCATTTTGACCACATCGGAAATTTATTCAGACTCAGATTCAATTTTCTTTTCCATTTGACTTTTGACTTAATTCAAATTCATTTACTTAAAGGAAGGCAAATTACGCTCTCAAAACTAGAATGGCCCCGTCTTTAGTTTCGAAAGTTGGTTACAATTTGTTGGCTGCAATCGAAGAGTTTTTTTCTTTTATTACACGTGGTGCTCGAATTAAAAAGCTTTTGTAGTGCTTCGCTTCGGTTTTCGTTTCTAGACGAGTGAATATTTTTGTTGGAGGTTTCTGTTCACATTGCTTAGGAGTACTACAACGTGATCAAAAACCCAATGGACATTGGCACAATAGGGAAGCGACTGGGACATGACTACTATTACAGTGCAAGGGAGTGCATATCTGATTTCAACCTCACTTTCAACAACTGCTACATCTTCAACAACCCAGAGGAGGTAAAGAAGTAGCTTTAAAGAAAGATGTAGATTCTCCCCTAAATTGAAAATCTTTATCCACGTAGGACAGGCAGTTTATTTGTAATTATAATGGCGAGCACAAGCGCGGCTTTTCGTGCAGAATTTTGAAAAAGTAGCATCTTGTATAAGAATGTTCAGTTCTGCGTTAAGTCGCGGTTGTGCTCAGTAAGATTAGACCTACAGGCAAATATATGCTTTTTGCGTCTTGTTTCAATTAGAAATGCTTCATCTTAAACCTGAAAGCACAAAACATGGTGGACATTGAGCCACTGAACTTGGAATTAAGAAATCGAAGTAAGAAGCACCTATCTACTATTTGATTATAACAACTCAAAATCGCTTTGCCTAAAAATATTTAACGCTTAAATTTTTTAGGATGTGTACAAAATGTGTCAAGACGTGGAAAAGGTGTTCTTGACAAAACTGTCTTTAATGCCTCCTTGTGAAGAAGAATTGAATCCGAGTGCTTCTCTGGCGGGAAAAAAGAAACAACAACTACCTTCTCCTCTACCGGTCAATAAAGCAGCCAACATAAACAGAGGCGCCACTATAGTTGCAGCAGCGGTTGCACCAGCAGCTGTGACGCCTTTAGTGGCCGAATTGACGAAGCCTCAGTCTCAGCAAACAACACCTAACCCTCCTTTGACTCCTTCTTCGCAAGTGCAATCATCACAACCGAACTCCCCCCCTAGTACCGTTTCATCGTCTACAGAAACGGGAAATGATTCTTCTTCGGATGCTGCAGTTACTGTCACTACAATTACTAGTAGTAGTAGTACCACTACAACAAGTGCATTCCCAGCTCGACCCAGACCGAACCTCCCAGATGTGGTGGAGATGGCCAGCCCTCCGCCACAGTCTTCGGCTGTAAGTTTTCATTTCTATTTGATTACACTCTAAGTTTTGAGCTGTAGATAGACAGGTCACGGTTTGAGGTGTCCCAGTGTCATCGACCTCCTCAAGGTGGGACCGGTTGCGGCGAAATGGATGACATCTCCCTACTCCATGGTTGGTCCTGAATTGAGCAGGATCGGGGGCTAATAAAAAAAATGCTGTAGGCAGAAAATGGCTAATTTTACTAAATTGGTCTACAGTTTAGCCAAATGATTTTTTAGTCGTGCAGGCTTTTATAATACAAGTTGCAGTATTCGCTGGTTATTCTGTAGAATGTGATCCGTGGTTGGCTAATTTCATGTATGTGGAAAATTGGCTTCATTGCGTAAAGTTAAGGCCATGTGCCCGCGGGGAATGACCAGCTTACGCAAGTAAGCTCACACTGGCAGGAAAAGGACAACCTTAAAAGATGTTCAGCTCTGGATATTTACTGTTGTATCACGTGCATTTTCTTATTTTTCTAGGCTGATTAAGGTTGCCTCACCCTCAAGCAACGAGCACGGATCATGGTTGGCCTCGAACATCCGACCTTTTGATGGAGAGGCGGAGACGTAACCAATTCCCCAACGCTCCTCTTTATCATAACAAATCTAAAGTTGTGTTAAAACCACAATGAAAAAATATATTGTTCAAGTATCATTCTACAAAAATTGGTTAATTTTGGATGTAAAATTATAATGATTTAGGGTGTGAAGCGGAAGGCGGACACCACCACGCCAATCACTCCCCTCCCACCTCTGTCTCCGAATGAACTGCACGAGAAAAACAATGCAGTTCAGAAGGAGATAGCGGCCAAGAAACAACTGAAGAAGGCTCAGTTGATGTCCTCGATGACCTCGGCAGCAGTTGCAGAGAAGCAGCAGAGAGACGAGAACATGGGGGTGATAGGTAGTGTGGGGAAGCGACACTGTTTGACCCCGGAGTTGAAGTACTGTCTGGGAATCATCAGGGAGTTGTTCAACAAGAGACATCAGGTAATAAATAGATATTGAACGAAGTGAAGACAATTGTCCACCTCAAATAGGGATTTTCTAAGTATTAATCAACGAAATGCATTTTAACTTATTTAGGTCGTTTTTCGTTTTTTTTTTCAGAAATGTCTGAAATTTGGTTACGATCAGCTTTCTGTTTTGGTGGTTTGATTTTTTTTGATGTCTTTAAAAGTTCATTTCAAATTAATTTGCGTAATGAGCGGCAAATTACATTCGCCAAAATAGCGTGGAAAACGGAATTTGAGTTGTTTCAAAATCGACTTAGAACCGAACCCGAATTTTTTCCCGGCGAAATAAAATAAGAACTTTTTGATTCAGCTTTTTTTTTCAATTGTTTCGGTCACATGATGTATTAGTGGCCTTGATTTCAGGCACTATCACAAGGAATAAACTTTTAAATCATTCAGCATAAATATTAAAGTTTTGCTGGAACCTAAAAAGCTGAGTTCCGAGAAAAATATGGATGAGATTTTTTTAAACAGCACTATGCGTGGCCCTTCTACAAACCAGTAGACGTGGAAGGACTTGGACTCACAGACTACTACGACAAGATCAAGACTCCGATGGATCTAGGGACGGTGAAGAAGCGCCTTGAAGACATGCCTCCCTATTACAAAACAGCAGCTCAGTTCGCTGGAGATGTGAGGCTCATATTCACAAACTGCTACAAGTACAACCCACCAGATTACGATGTGGTCAAAATGGCACGTCAATTGCATGTGAGACGAAACTGGTTGAGTTTTCTCTAAATATTGTGCTCTTTCCCATTATACAGTTTAAGGCAATTGTTAAACGAATGATTACAATGGACTTCACAGACTAAGAGTCGATGAACGTAGTTCAGCCTTTTACATAGGTCGCTATGATTTTTTTTTTTTCGTTTTTTTTCAAAGAGAAGTCTAAAAAAATTTTCAGGCTCAAGTTTTACGTTTTCGTGGTTTGACCTTTGATTTCTTTTTTAAGTTCAGTTCATTTCCTTTGTTAAAAGGAAGGCAATCTCCACTATTAAACAGCAAAAGTGTATAGGTCACAAAAACGTGATTGAGTTCTATTTTCGAAAGTGAATTACAATTTTCAGACGTCCTAGTGAAATAAAAATATTACTTTTTGATTCAGGTTTCTCATATTAGGTTTATGTTATCAAGAAAGTGCCGGTCATAAATTGTTCTAGAAGTATATTTTTTTTGTTTACTTGCGTTCATTGACTCTTTTCCAATTGTTTGTGGGCAATCTTTATCCAGCAAATTATAATCCCCCATAATACAAAAACCACACTGTGGTAATTTAGTTTTCGGTTATTGGGGTTCAAGGATAGTTATAATGGACAAAATCCAATTAATAAAGTTGATGGGCATTTAATCTGATGCTACTCTTACTGTTTTAGTATCAAAATTATGAGTTGATAAAATATTGCCGCGTAAAAATTAAACACCTGAATCTTCAAAAAAATTTGCCTCGATCTTGAATTGATTTGATAAATTGGGAATTTAGTTAGACGTCTGTCAGAATTTAGACAACACGTGTACTGCAATGCAAATATTTAAAAAAATTCCACCAAAATGTTGTTTTTGGACACTTTTTGAACGGTTTTTTCAACAAATATTTTGCTGACTATCCCGAAAATTCTTCCTAGAAACAACACCTAAATCTGTTCTTAGCATCCATGCTTTAGTTTGTTTGCTAAAAAAGTTCGAAAGGAAAAGCTCAACTTTGTAGTAGTTAAATGAATAAAAGAAGGATAATTGTTGAGCTTTGTTGGATATTAAGCTGCAAGGACTTAATTTAAACTTTTTCTAGGACATCTTCGATGCGAGGTTCGAGATGATGCCGAATTTCGGCGCCAACTCGGACACCCAGTCTCCTGAATTCCCGCAGATGAGTGTGAACACATCTTCTGTCAACAGTGCAGTCAAACGCAGTTCCTCCAAGCAGCAACAGTCCTCAATTCCGGACTCCACGAGTAGTGTGGTGTCCTCAATGCAGAAGCCAGAGCTGATTCCAGAGGCCCTCTTGGATCCGAGTGTCCTCAATGCACAAATTGCGAGTGCAGCCAGTGCTCCTGGAGACAGTTTCGACAAGAACGAAAAAGTGCTACACCTACAACAACAGGTTGTTCAGGCATTTTTTACATCAAATCATTTGCAACTTCAGTCTTTACAACAAATCAAGAAATTGGTTTTATATAGGTTTAAAGATATTTTATGGCTTGCGCTCCCACTTGAGATTATTTTTTTTTGTGAAAAGATATCTTTAAAAAGTGAAGGTTGATCGGAAAAACGTGTTGTATGAAAAATACCATCTAGAATAAGTAGCCTTTGGGGGAAAAGAGTAAACAAAATTGATGAGGTATCTTGGTGTTTCTACTTTTGCCTCTTACACATGATACTGCTCCTCTGATTTTAGCCTATGTCAACCATTGTGTTTGTGATGTTAATTGGGTTTATTTGTTGAAAAATAGAATTAGAGTTAGGTTTTTAGAGTTTTAAACAAGTGCGTTTAGCTGAAGAATGTGATGCAACAATTGAGTCAACTGCAACAAGGCACTGTGGAAGACCAAGTGAGCAGTTCGTCTCCTCCTTCGAAACCGACTGCGGCGAAGAGACGCCGCACGACAGGGAAGAATAACGCGAAGGGAGGAACAACAGCAGCGGCAGCGGCAGCAGCATCAGCAGCAGGAACTAAGAACCCGAACGAAACGAGGGGTCGCAAGAAACGACAGCCCAACAGTTTCCAGTCCGTTTTATCTATTTTCTTTCTAAATGTCAAACGAAAAATCTTATTTAAATTCGAAGTTAATCGCACAGGAAGAGACATTTCTGAGTTCATATCTTAGTTCAGAAAATTTGATACCTCCCTTAAATTAGCAATAGCCTATATATTTGTTTCTGGTATCGTAACTCGTCGGAGTTTTGTTTAAGGTGAAAAAATGTTCTGTAGCTGTTTCGATTTCTTAGTTACATTACAGGCCAACTAATTCGTCGCCAGCCACAGTTGACACGAGTGTGAACACTCCCTACGACAGCGACGACGACAACCTCGACATTGCGATGACATACGACGAGAAGCGCAAACTCAGTCTAGACATAAACAAACTGCCGGGCGAGAAATTGGGTCGAGTAGTGCACATAATCCAGACGAGGGAACCCTCTTTGAGAGACTCGAATCCGGACGAGATCGAGATCGACTTCGAGACGCTGAAGCCCTCGACGTTGCGGGAACTGGAGAAATATGTGAACACTTGTCTGAAGCAGACAGGGGCAGGGGGTACTAGACCCTCTTCAGGGTCAGCGGCAAAGAAACAAACAAAGAAGGCTGCAGGGTCACCCGACAAGAAACAGCACAACGCACAAGCCCGCAAGAAAGGTGAAGATTCTGAATTGCCAGAATTTTCTAAAGAATTTATTTCCATTTTTTACTTAATTTTATTCGTTATTCAGGTGGTGGGGTTTTATCGTTTTTTTTTTCAGGAATACAAATTTTTCTTTTCGCGATTCATTTTTTGATTTCTTTTCAAGTTCATTTCAAATTTATTTGCTAAAAAGTAGGCGAATTACGATCTCCAATTACGAAAATTTTTAGTTTCGAAAGTAATTTTGAATTTTTAGATTTCCCAGCGGAGTAAAAGTTTGCTAACAATACATTTTCTTCTAATTGAATTAATTTTATCAAAGTAATGTCAATCAGGGAATATTCTTTATACTCGCGAACCCCTGTTTCATATTATACAAACGCTTGAGTTCCCTTATTCTCCTAGGTAACTCGCAATAGTCAGTGCTCTGCCAAATTGCTCAATTTCAGCTGCTATTTACTCGTCTTAATCTGTGGCAATTAACAGCATGTGTTTTAGCCTCTTTATTGACAGCTGTTGTTGTTTGGAAAACAGGTAGTGGTTTGATGCCAATGTGAAGACATGAGACTGTATTTTTCGGGGTCGAGATTGAAATTCAGTTGGTGGCTATTTTTTGTTCAAAGCTCATTCGTGTAATCATAGATTTTGAAGCTCCTTTTTGCCATGTGAAGCTTCACTGGTGTGAAGTGGAGAAAGCTTTGGGGTGATATATTCAAGTGTTGATGTACAATGTTCAGACACTTCTTTAGATAATGCAGTTTTTTGATTTTTGAGGAAAAGTCTCAAAATTTGATCATAGCTATTTTGGATAAGTGTATTGTATTTCATGCATTAAGTCGAGTTTAATTTTTCACATTTTTAGTTTGATTCAAAATCAATTGTTGAAACTTGTTGAAACAAAGGCAAATAACGCTCTCCGCTTACGACAAGGAAATGCCGCAAAAAACGTCATCGATTTCTAGTTTCGAAAGTGTAATGTAAATGTAAAGAGTATTGAACGCAGTGAAGAGTCTTATTGGGTTTTGCTGATTTTTTTTTCAGGAAAAAGTCTCAAAGTGCATTATAGTCTCTAATAACTACAGATGTGCATTCATAAATATTGATGCATTTATGAATGCACTTAGGTATATATGCACTTTTTGAGTTCAATTGAAATTCATCTGTTAAAAGTGACGTAAATAGCACTCTCCAAATACGAACGTGGAAATGGCGCAAAAAACGAACGATTTCTAGTTTCGAAAGTCGAATTTAATTTATAGATTTCCAGCGGGATAAAAACTTCACCTGTTGATCCAGTTTTCTCAAGTTCTGTTAATGTTACTAAAAAAACCTATAACAAATCGTTTTAGAAATTCAAAGATCTTAAAAGGCATCTTTTTTTTGAAGTTCGCAAGTTAAGATTTTTTCAACAAAGTAAGTATTTTTTTACTTGCGTTCATTACTCTTTTCCAATCTTCGATTGGCTATGTTTAGATTTCCCAACTGAATATAATTTTTTTCTTTAAACCCAATTTTGTCAAATTGGTTCAATTTTAGCGAAAAAGCTTCAATCATAAACAATTTTTGCAGTTCAAAGAGTTTTAACGTGATGTGTTTTTTTCTTCGAAGTTGAAAAAGAAACTATTCAAAATAACTATTTTCAATAACTTTTTTCCGTTTCCTGAGTTCATTGACACTTTTCCATCGGTAGGGCGACAATTCGTAGCAAGCGACAATTCGTATCAGGCGACAATTCGTAACAAGCGACAATTCGTAACAGGCGACAATTCTTAACAGGCGACAATTCTTAACAGGCGACAATTCGTAACAAGCGACAATTCGTAACAAGGCATTGGCAAGTAGAATACGCTTGCTCCTCTGCGCTTACATCTGGCAAGAGAGGAGTACTGTGCGTGAATCAGTATTTCCCACTTAATTAAGAGTAATGAGCGTAGTGAAGACTCTTACATGATTTTTCTACAGTTACCAGATGTCGCCTGTTACGAATTGTCGCCTCACGTTTTCCATCTGTTGCTGACTATGTTTGTAGTTTAGAGTGAGAAAGAAAGCAGTCTTTTGAGGTCATTGACACTTTTTCAATTGACAACTTCTTTTTTGAAAAGAACTGTATTTACATTGCAAAATGTCTATTTTATATGGGGCTGGAAATTGAATATGCAAGTAGTTGCGCCTCGTAAGAAATTCTGACTGCATTGAATTTTTAATGCAATGTAACTCCTGAACATCGTTGGCTTAGAGGAACACTGACCACTGCATTTCCGTGCTCTTCGACTTTTTAGGCATTTTTGGCATGAAGTTAAGTGTTTTCATCGAGCGCTTACCTCACAATTAGTATATGTAGATGTCAAAGGCGCCCTTAGAAAATTTTACGGCCGGTGAGCTAAAAAAAATGCACAATTGTACCAAAGGTTGACCCTTGGGACAGTGACCCCCCCTTTATTCCCCTTTTTTAATCCGCTACTGGCTGCATGGGTTTATTCTACATGGATTCTGGATTTATTGCTGCATCGACTTAATGGAATTGATTTCTCGCGCCTAATTCATTTTTTTGTCGTCTCCTTTTCCCAGTTTTTCGATATAAAACTTATTGTAGTCTGATTTTTCTGTGTACTCAATTTCTTAGCCCAGGTGTAATTTTTTCAAAATTGAGGCTCCGGCAACATCGATCCTGCTTGTATCTGATTTTTACGTGTTGTATTTTCAGCAGGTGAGATCTCCAATCTGAGTGACTCAAGCGGCGAGGGAAGTTCGGGCGATGAAGGGGAGAGGGACTCCTCGAGCGACGATGAAGACGAAGACGAAACTGCCTCGTCCGACTTCGGGCCATGAACTGTACTACTCTCTTAACTAAATAATCTATAATCAACCACTAACTAATCTTTATCTAAACCAGCCCAAGCTCAACAATGTCCTATAGAATCATGTACACTTTCTATCTTGATAACATAGTAAAGTTGACTAGCAGACAAAAATAAGACCAGCGGAACCTATTTTTGATAGGGTAGTTCCAATATGTAAATCAATGAGTCATGCTTGATGTGACAAATAAGTATCTTTTGACGAAATAAAACGTTTAATGGACAAAATTTGACATCAAAATAAAATTCAAAGTGAAACACAAATGAATTTCAATCTGATTTTACCGAAAGTGTTTAAAAGTTTTCAAGTGTTGTTTCAAAAATAGGTTCGCGTAAGTATCCATTTTTGTTTTCAGTCCAGATTCGATAATGGTTCGCGACGGGCTATAAATTCGTGCTAGATTTCCTTTTCCATGGGAACTAAATCTAATCACAGATGATTGTACAAGTTTGATACTGAAATTATTTGGAAATTTTCATTCGCCATGTATTGCATTAATTTTATGGAGACGTTTTGCTTCCAATTAATATTAAAGGTGTTTTAACTACAAAAATATCATTTTTAATCAATGTTAGGAAGCAAAGTACTTCGGTATCATCCCAACTTATGTTCTTATTTATTTCGACTTAGTTAGTTCCAACCTTGCCTCCAAGTTTTTGTGAGTGAAACGTGTCCGTGGCGGCACCGGCCCACACGAATAGCTTTTACCCTTTAACTTGTGACGTAGTAGTTGTATTCTTTATTACTAGATCTTTACTTAGATATCAATTTTTCCAACATTGATTTCGGCTGTGTGAATGTTATTTAATATATAATTTTTGGCTAAATAAATTTACAAATTTAATGACATCCAGTTTTAGACACATCTCAGAAAAAAACAGTCTCGGAAATGATTCAAAAATAGGAAACCTCGGAACAATCCAGTCCCAAAAGATTTAGTGTGACCAAAAGGTTCTCGAAAACAACCCTGAGACTCGAGAAGAAACTAAGAGTACATCAGATTTTTAAAATAAATATGCGACCTAAATTTATACGTCTCAAACTATCCCACAAAAAAAAATCAAATAGTTAGTGCAAAAAATTGAGCTGAGCTCATGGTATAAAAGTTGCTCTGGAAAATAATATAAATCAGCAACATACTTTTTTCCCCAAAAAATAACAAATCTGGGCATTACATACTTAATTTCATTACCTTCTTCAGAAGCAATTTGTTTTTTTTTGAAAACTGACATTTCAATCTCAAAAAACTGCAAAACAAAATAATTCAATCAATTCTTCTATTAACTTTTTCATTGACTCGAGTTATTATTGATGAACAAGCTGTAGTGATTTGAAATACAATCGTTGTGTACTGAAACAACCGAAAGACAAACTAAAAAATAATGGATAAAAATTTTTCTGACATTCCATTCCACAACAATCGTATTTTAATAGGGCTATGCGGTTAGTAATTGATTGAAAAATTGTGCATTGGTAATTGACCGAACGAAACTGTAATTTGGTTTAGTTCCGGTTATTGAAATATTGAACGACACGAGTCAAGCGATGCAGTGACCAATATCATC